TAAGAGACGAGAGAGGCCAGAACGACGGGCGAGAGAGCGCAATGGCAGTGACACAATGACACGGTCACTGGAGGCCGGCATGGGCCTATCGGGCGCCAATGGGCCTAAAACCTGAGCGTCCTGCGCTCTCCTTGTTGTTTTTCAACTTTTAAGCGCAGTATAGCCTCTGCTGTTGCCTGCTTGAGCATCATGTGCGTTTATGAGGTTCTAGCCTTAGTTTATCGCGAACCGTGCCTTTAAGGGAATTTCGAGTTGAATAATGCATTCTAGATAGTGATGCTTGACGAACCAACATCCGGTATGGATCCTGGAGCACGTCACGAGACCTGGACTCTTCTACAGGCAGAGAAAAGCCGACGGACGATTCTGCTGACGACGCATTTCATGGAAGAAGCCGATTTGCTCGGCGATAGGTGATACAACAACTGGAATTCTTCAGAGCGATATGTTATACCATTCGTTTTCAGAATTGCTATCTTGGCTCATGGCCAACTCCAATGTTGTGGTTCAGGAATGTTTTTGAAGTCCCAATATGGTACGTGATCTCCGGAAATTATTGCTACTTTCAGGGAGGCAGCGCGCGGAATCACCACGCGACGCGAGTGCCCCTAATTTTTGGGCTATAAGGCTTATTCATTGACATGCTTTAGCCTTTTTTGCATAAATTTCCTAGCAGCGCTTACATCTATGCATCTTCATTCAAGAGAGATGAACAAATGAAAAGCACTCGAAAGGGAAGGTCCCAGGAAGAAATTTCTCTGCGCATTCTACAGATATCATACTTATTGCAGAACTAAATAAAGGCATTTTAGAGTGGACGCCCACCGGAAGATGAACCCTTGCCATTGGCGAAGTGAACAGGCCTAGAGCTGTACAGGCGTGCCACTGTCATCATTCAAAAAAGTGCGTGGAAATGAGGCTGTAGGATGATGACAGCTGAATGACCGCCATCTACGACTGCGACACGTTCATTAAGGGCCCGCAGCCAACAGCATGAGCGGAAAGCTGAAAATCGTCTCCAAGTGCAGAGAACAAGGAAACGTGAGAGAGCGCAGGAAAACACGGCATTTGGCTATAGTAACACTTATGCCTGGTCGTGCAGCAGGTGCTGCCACTACCCCTCTTTCTCATTTCGGCGCACTTTTTAATGACGAAAAAATGACGAAAAGGTACATGCTGCGAAAATGGCATATGCTTCATGCTGCTGCGGATCCGTTCACCTCGCAAATGGCATGGATCAGAATTCTCGAAGGTGTGCGTACACCTCACGTCTAAACATCCACTGGTGATCTTCCCTTGCGGGTACGTGCCAGGAGATCCGAATCGCTTGGACACGTACAACCGGGATAATGCAGGGCACCTCCTAGTTGTCTCCGTTTAATGTAACACTATCACGTCAATTTAATTGCCCTGGAACGAATCCCTCGGAAGCAGCATCACTTGCAAAGCTGCTCTTGAAGCGGCGCTTGCTCTCGGTTTTCCTTACCCACGACCTAACTACCCAGAACGCAGAAACACCTTCATACTGATCCTAATTCAGGTGCCGGTTATCATTTGACAGTAGTCTACGAGAGCTCGCCGAATATTGATGAGATGGTAACTAAGACTCTGGAAGTTCTCTCACGTCACGTCAATGACTTACGACTGCAGTCCTTCGTTGGCCAAGAAGCAACATTCATCATTTCGGCCAAATGCAGGCCACAGTAAGGATCTTGTAGTCGCTCAACCTAAATCGAACTTGAAAACTCACAGTTTGAGAAAAGGTCTAGGCTAAATTGGGAAGTTTAGTGAGATATTGCAGGTTTCCATCAATGTTCGTGGACCTTGAAAGAAGTCAACATGAGCTAGGGAATTTCCTCGTTTGGCATGTCGATAACTACGATGGAGGAGGTATTCCTCAGGTAGAACCACACTTCACGCTTTTCAAGAAGGGAGCTATGCTCAGGACGTGTTCAATAGGGAACATGAAGAGGAGAGCGTAGATACTACGGAGCTGGTCGAAAATGACCCTTATCTTTCACGTAGGTCTTTTCCAGTGGTTTGAATTATAGGAGGCCGAATCCCATTTCAGGTTGCATAAATTCTTTTTCTGCTGCGGAGCGACAAACGTCCGTGTTTTAGGGACAGGTTTGAGCGGCTCACTGCTCCACAATGTCGCACTGACCGCCCCAGAAAATTGGGTCAGAGAACGGCGCGCGCCGAACCCCAGAGCCCAATGACGCACACTCAGCTTTGCAGCGTAAACGAGGGCAACATTTTTTTGCTAGAATGTTTTTTTCAAAAATCCAACTATTTTTGTGGAAAAGTAATCATTTACAGAGTTGAAAGCTACACAGCGTCTCAAAGGTCTTTCTTATTATTGGCAGCAAGTAGAGGCGATGTTTATCAAACGAGTCATCTATTTCTACCGAAAGTGGATAATGTTCGTCATGAATTTGTTATTTCCGGTAAGTAGTCAAGGTTGACAAATGCTTTCTATAACCCATAACTACTCATGTTACACAGATTTACTATATAGCGCAGGAATTTTTAACACTGAGGCGGGACGAGTCTAGAGGCTCTGCGACAATCAGATGCACAGGGACTAGTAACCATTATGCCTTTCTCGCTGACGCTATCTCTTCTTAGGCTGCGTTCATACTTTGCGGCAGCCTTCCTTAGCGACCGATAGCGTTCAACAGCGTCAGCGACTGGGAAAGTATAGATATCGATCTAGCGTCCTTCAGCGTGCTCCAGCGTCCGCCAGCGTCTAGCAGCGTTTGGGAGGAGAGAGAATGGCGCGGAAGGAGGGTAGCAGACAGCTGGTACCCTCCTATGTAGCGGTAGGAGGGTACCAGCTGTCTGCTACCCTTCTACCGCTACATACTCCTCTCTCCCTCTCTGGTAGACTGACAGACGGTGGTGGCCGCTAAATTGATACTCATGCTTCCCTAGCCTTCGAGATGCTGGTGCACGCTGGTGACGCTGGCAGACGCTGGCAGACGCTAGATCGATATCTATGCTTTCCTAGTCGCTGACGCTGCCGGACGCTCGGAACGCTGGTGGATGCCATTGGTCGCTGGTGGGCGCTGCCGCAAATAATGAATGCAGCTTGAACGTAGCATTACGGTGTTAGAAGGAGTAGCAGAAAAAGATAAAGGCACAGTGGTTGATAAAATAAGCCTAGTTCTTTGTTGTTCTCCAATTATCATGGAATGTGTCTTTAGATTGGCAGCTATTTTGACCTGAACGTACATTCTCACGACAACTAGTTTCACCTACTTTTAGTCTTTGGCTTGAATTCAATGCTTTTATAGGTGAAAAAGCCTGAAAAAACAGTGATTGTATCGTATTGTATACCTAGATTCTATACATGGCACTTATGACGTGGACCTCGACGTTGGTGCCATCCCCTACAGAGCAGCCGACTCTTAAGATTGATATGTCGCCATTCGGGGGTGCAAATGGAGATGGTTACGTCCTCAGTTCGAATCGCACAGACGATCGCATTGAAGACAGTTTTGATTTGTACAGGTAGGTGGAATAACTTTCAGTCATAGAGCTGCGGTTACAGTTGCCGTCACAATAAATCGAGGCTCCTTCCACCACTAGTTGTGTTCATTGTAAATCGATCATTTTCACCGTTGGCAGAGCAAGGCAGTCGGAGGCGGGCTCGCTCCGCCCCTGCCTGCTGTCGCCGCCCCAAGTGATTGCGACTTACCAACTACAGTCTTGATCGCTGTGGATTGTGCGCATGTCATGGAGGTCCAAGTTTAGCGCGGCACCAGTCCGTTTTTCACCTACTGCGGTTGCTTGCCAGTTTCCGCAACTGGTGGAGGAGGGGTTGGCTTTATTCTTATCTAAAGAATTAAAGTTATGAAAATGAATTAGAATAACTACTGGAAAGATTAGCCGCTACTGACGCTGGCTACGCTAGGAGCTGCTATTTTCAGTTCGTTACGTGCAACGACGACTCGTCTTGCAGCACCATCAAATCTCTTCATAGACACAGTACAGAACGTGTCTGCCTATGTAGTGAATCTCATAGATCAGGTCTGCTCCTAGTTTACAGCCATAAGTTTGTGGACCTCTTATGTCGACTTTCAGATTGGATCAAGAAGCTTTGGCATTCACTATCCGCTGGCATTCGAGCGACAATACATGCAACCACATTCTGC